GAAACATGTGCTACTGTCTCAGCTAATCTTATGGTTGGGGTACTTTTCGTGTACAGAATAACCCCGCCTCCCCTTCGTTTTAATCTATCAGCCCTACTGGTTATGAAACCAGTCAATTGGATTTCACTATCTAATACTTCTGACGTTAACCAAGTTTTCGAGACAGCAATAACGTCTGTTTTTTTCCTTATCCACCACTGACTTGAGCTCCGCCATTTTATTTAGTAGGCTGTGAGCATTTGTGTAGCATACCTTTAAGTCTGTAGAGAGCTTTCCCTTGCCACCCAGAGTGGCTTGGGGATCGTTTTGCTCCGAACTTTTACAACTTGAAAACCCTTAAGAACGAGGTTTCATTCCCCGTTTCTGCAAAGCTCATTTATCTCCACTTCTGCAGCTCGTCTCTTAATACGACCAGCTAGGTTGAGATCCTCATGGACATATATTCCGGATCCAATCAGTTTACGTGAATTACTTAGAATCAGGTTCCTTTCTTTCATCGTGTCGAATGTAACCTTCAAGAGGTGGTCTTTCTGAGAACTTTTGGAATCCACTTCTCTTCCTGTTCTATAAAGCTTATAAATACTGACTCCTGAAACTGTATCTGGGAGCAGTTTACTTAATGATGTCTTAATATGATTGAGATCGTGTTCAAATCTCGCCTTTGGTTCTTTATCTGAAGATTCTCTTATCTTATGAAAAATGACAGATCTCTCTCTTGTCACGCAGTGGAGATTTTTCTTCTGATAACATCCATTTCAATGCCTTGCTGCCCAAATGCGTTTTGCCCACAGCCTTTTTCTTCCCATTTCTTTTTCTCCTTACTGAAGTCCATTTGTCACCACTCAGGACACCCATACCTGGACTATGTGGAACGGTGACAGTTTTATCCGGATCTTCTATTTCCATTAGAGGTGTATGACTGCCAATGTCAATATCAAGCGGCACTTCATTCCTCGTCAATGTCAACGGAGATTCCACGTTTCCACCAACCACAGTCAGGTTTTTAATGGGTCCAGTAGCTGCACTTACTACACTGACACATTCTTCGCCGTCACTGCACTTAATATCAGTGCTTTCGCCAGCGTTTTTCTTGCAGGCCAGAGCCAATAGGCCCAAAGCCTCCTGTATTAGTACATTTTTATCCGTACAGTAGAACATACAAAGCCAATGCGAGTTAAGCTTCGAGCATCTTTTGTAAGCCGTCGGACTTAAGCGTCTACACATTTTGTGGTTCCACTTTTTAAAATCGTCACACTGAATTCCCTTTTCAACAGGGGAAGAACAACTTGGTTGCCCACATTTGTGAGTCTTGCCGACCATTGTCATTTGATTTGAAATGTTTAAAAACACAAAATGATGACAATGTGAACACAAGTGTTAATCAAGGAATAAAAAAAGGTACCTAGGACAAAACTTAGCTGATAATTTCAAACTTTAACCAAAGTACTTTTAGTTCAAGTAGACCAAGAATGCCTTTTGGTGAAATAAGTACCCAAAGCAAGTATAATCACAACTACGCGCGCTATCTAAAAAGGATAGTGGTATTGTTTCTTGTTGAATTAGTAAACTGTTTTGATCGTAAATTACGTACCAAAACTACGATTTACACTTTATTTGAATCTAATACAGTTAAAGTGATATTCCGTTGAGTTTTTATGGCTTTTGTGTATTTATTACATTCGAAGCATTCTTGGTCTGTATCAAAGTACTTTAGTTGATGTTTGAAATCTTGCCAAAGTTTTTTTCGTGGTAACCCTTTATTCATTGACTGACATGTGTGTTCATACTGTGATCATATTGTTTGTTACACCTTGATCAGACTAAAATGGTTGGTAGTACTCACAAATGTGGACAACCAAACTGAAACCCGTCGGCAAAACGGTGAGGAAAATCTCCGGCTAGTGGGTTTCCGGATAGTCAGGTCTTAGAAGCGAATGCTACCAATGCCTGTGTGGATAGGCCGTTCTACTTAGGAGTTTTACGTGCCAACGCTCGTAGTCTAAGAAATAAGTTCTATGAACTAGAAGCACTAGTAGACAGGTTGAAGCCACTCATAGTAGCAGTGACAGAAACTTGGTTAGTCCATGACTTAGACATTACTCCAGAATTATCCGGATACCATTGCATCAGGAGTGATAGACATAGATGTAGAAAAGGAGGCGGCGTCCTGTTATATATAGCCAATGGCATAAATATCCGCTCCTCTACTAGCGAATCCCATGATAGCGGCACTTGTGAAGTCATTAGCTGTAAGTTGGCTATAGGATGTAGTACATTTATGCTAGGTGTCATCTATCGGAGCCCAATCTGCTTAGCTGATGACTTTGTTTCAGAGCACATTCATCTTTGGAGTGATAATACCAGATGCTTGATAATAGGAGACTTTAACGCACCTGATATTAGTTGGACTGATATGACCACGGAAGGATCTATAAACTCCTTCGATAGTAGGTTACTGATAACAACAATGGAGCATGCACTAGTGCAGCATGTATCCCAACCCACACGTTTTGGCGTTAACCAGGGTTCTTCTCTGCTGGATTTGGTAATCACTCATGAGACTGAGGATATTGTCGACTTAAATATTCTTCCACCGTTAGTAAACAGCGATCACGCTGTTTTGTCATTCGCGTTTAGAACTAGGGACATGTTATACGATCAGGTTACACCGCGCTCAAATGTATGGAAAGCTAACATATCAGCCATTCAAGAATGCGCTGCTAAGACAGATTGGTTAGTAGATACTAGCATATCAGTTGAAGAAGCATGGTCTGTATTTAAAGGTAAATTTAGACTAGTTACGTCCCCGTTCATACCATGCCTGGTACCGCGAAGACCGAATAATAGTCCACCATGGATAACTAAAACGGTCAGGAAACTCCTTGGGAAAAGGAAGAATCACTGAAATATGTTCATCTCTACTGGCTTAGAACAATACAGATCCAGTTATTGTAAGATTAGGAATGCCTGTAAGGCGTTAATAAGCAAGACTAGACTATCATACGAAAAACAATTGGTTAGGGATTCTAGATATAGTCCGAAACGGTTATTCTCGTATTTAAAATGGCGAACTAAGAGAAGCGATGGAATTCCATCACTTTTGATACGAGACAATCCGCTAATCTTAGCAGAGAATAATGCCGAAAAAGCTGAAGCTTTATCGGAATATTTTAGTAAAGTGTTTTCTATCGATAATGAGGAACGACCAATGATTCATCGTGACCGTGACGGCTCGCTGATGGATCCTGTAGTCATTGAGAAAGATACTGTTTTAAGGCTACTTCAGCATCTCAAACCTGATAAGTCCAGTGGTCCTGATGATATTCATCCTAGGATTATGAAAGACATATCAGATGAAATTGCTGAACCATTAGCGATACTATTCGACATGTCTCTGAGACAGTCCAGACTTCCTAAAGACTGGGAAGAAGCCATAATAAGTCTGGTGTATAAGGCTGGGAGTAGGGATTTAGCTAGCAACTATAGACCCGTTAGCTTAACTAGTGCAGTTGGGAAACTGATGGAGAAAATCATTCGGATAGCTGTTATAAACTATTTTGAAGGGCATAATCTTTTCTCCAGGGCACAACATGGTTTTCGGAAAGGCCTATCTTGCTTGACGAATCTTCTCATTGCACGAGAAGAGTGGGCTGCGGCAAAGGATCGGAATGCTCCTGTGGATGTAATTTTCAAAGATCTAAGTAAAGCCTTTGATAAGGTCTCCCACTCTGGTCTTAAATTCAAACTGAAACGTTTTGGAATCCATTATACAGTCGTCGATTGGATAAGTAACTTTCTCCATAACAGGAGACAAAGGGTAAGGGTTAATGAGGCTCTCTCCTCGTGGGTACCTGTAAAAAGTGGGGTTCCCCAAGGTACAATCCTAGGTCCTCTTCTCTTTTTACTTTATGTGAATGAATTGCCAACTGTAGCAAAATCATCCGTTCTACTCTTCGCTGATGACATAAAGATTTGGAGACCCATACATAGTATGTCGGATAGAATAGTATTAAAGGACGATCTTAGCTCATTGGTGGCATGGTTAGACAGGTGGTCACTAGAAGTAAATCCTAATAAGAGTGTAGTGATGCAGTTAAATAACTCTGGTGAATAGTATGACTATACACTACGTGGATTCGTGCTACCCAAAGCAAGAAACTATAAAGACTTAGGAGTTATATTAAGCAATGATCTCAAAACGACTAGTCACTGTAAGGCTGCTGCTGCAAAAGGCTATAGGGTATTATGGTCAATTCGTAGGTCTTTTCAGTATCTAGATGATGAAATGTTTGGATTACTATACCCGATTTATGTGCGACCACATTTAGAATACGGGATTCAAGCAGCGAGTCCTTGTTTCAAATATGAAGCAGATATGCTAGAAAGAGTCCAACGACGAGCTACTAAGATGGTACAAGGTCAATTTGGCCTATCTTATGAAGACAGACTGAGACACCTTAACTTATTTCCGTTATCTTACCGTAGAATACGGGGTGATCTAATATTGGCTTATCGTATACTGAACGATGACCTTGGTATTAACATGTCTTATCTTTTGCTTCCGTCTAGAACCGATCATTTGACAGGACATTCGAAGAAAGTTCAAAAACCGAGATCAAATTGTTTACGTCTGGTTTTCCGTTTCTCGCACCGAGTAGTGAATTACTGGAATTCTCTACCGGAACACTTGATATCAGCACCGTCTGTTAATATATTCAAAACGAGATTGGACCTCCACAGTATTACAAACTGCAAGGATTAATATAGGTCGACAGACCTCCTATCCTTATTACTGAAGACTGGAGTACAAAAATCATTGCTCTTTTTGAAACGAGCGCGGTAGCAGTTCAGCTAATCCACATTTAGAAGCAAGCATTTGGGAATTTCGTGTAACTCAAGACTTTTTTCACCTTACATGATCTGAATGACGTTACTGTTTAACTAGTGAATAAAAAACTGACAGACGCGGGTACAATATTGGTTAAGTATAAAGCGGCCAAATGAATTTGCGCGGTGTGTCAAGGCTGTTTCAAGTTCATGCCTTGGTAGTTATTGAAAGGTGAGGTTACGATGTGGCTTCTTTTTCAGCAAAACATCTCACCAAACATACCGTTAGTTTCAGTCATAGTATAACTTTAGCACAGTATACCATACTGATAACGGCGGAATAATAGTTCTGATCGGTAGAAGAACTGGTAGCGGGTGGTAAAACTCATCCTTGATCGCATCGAGATTGCAATCTGTTGGAGCATTGGTGATGACGAAAAGACATTGTTTCCCGCAACGATTTTTTTATGGAACGTTATAATCTAGCAACACATAACCAACTGTTAATGTGTATCCAATCAACTTGTGCTGCCTCAGCTCTACCGCTTAGTGAGACACCAACGGCAGCAAAACCAGACGATGTTACAAGGTCTCCGGATAAACACATAAAACAAGCTTTTCGAAGTGACAGATAGAGAACAAATTTGCAGACAACAGATAGCGATATTAAGACTTTCCAAATACACACCCAACACTACCTGTTGTCCGATCTGCGTTAGTGTGCGAACGTTGAAGGAAGTCAGTTTGAATGGTATATGTGGCTTCAGAAAGAGTCTCAGCATTCGTATTCGTTGGTAGCATTCAATTTTCGACCAGTCAGTAACTCGAGATCGTTTAGATATAACAAAGTTTTCACCATAGGCGAGTTGCTGTATAATTTGAAAACTAAGGATGCACAAGGTCGGAATGAAAGAGAGTGGATAAGTGTCGTAGTGTATTGAAAAGTTAAAAATAAAAAGTGAATGTGAATTGTCTGACTTTTAATCGAGGCGAGAATAGTATTTTCAGTAATTATCGTCATTTCATTTTATATGTGTGTGCTTTGATACTGTCCGGATCCACAATCAGAACCTTTGACTTGAAGGTCTAATCCATAGGACATTGGGGCAACGTAAGGAGATGCAGTCCCATGGTAGCTGGTGACCAATAATCGGTTCATACGTCATTTATTTTCTCAGGATACTGGAGCCCATGTACATCATTGGTTTCGAATCAGGGTTTTCCAATTCCCGTAGGTGGATTTTCCGAACCCACCAACCTGGGTAAAGTGCCGGATATTCGCTTTTCGTCCTCTCAATTTCCTAGACAACAGTAATGCCGAGAAAAGGTAGTGAGTAGTGCTTCCCTAGCAGTGGTTGTATTCATGTAGGCATGTGAGAGCATTTCAAGAGGGAGAGCCTACTCTCGGCCGTATCAGGGCATTTAGGGGCTTGAAAGGAATCTAAACAACGTTGTTCTTTAAGTTGGAGACCTTAACAAACATTGGTGTTTTTTGAACTTTTCTAGCCATAAAATGAAACTTTTAAATTCTTTTTTTACCTATCACTTAAGATGTTTGTTCATGATAGGTCTTCATCAGTTTCATGATATGGCAACATACGTTAAAATAGGTGAAATTGTCCGATATTTTATTACATGTAAATTTGTAGCGGCCATTGAGAACTAGTGCTCAATCTCACTTATGTATATGAAGCACGTATTTGATCAACGTCTACCATTCTTAACCAAAGCGAAAATTTGTGTACACTTAAGCAATACTTAGTATACTTGGATCACAGCAGTGCTGTTATTTAATGTCACTTTTTAGAAAGTTATTATTATTATATTTATTATTTTTTATTTGAACACATAGATATTGGTACAAGGAGGCACCAAATACTTATGCGCCACACAAATCTCATTTGATTTGTGTGAGGGCTGTGGTACTGCTCGGGTGACCAACAGTTGTTTCATACACCATTTGTTCCCTCAGGACCTTGGAGCCCATGTGCACCGTTGGTTTGGAATCAGGGTTTTCCAACTCCCCTAGATGGACTCTCCATGTCCACCAACCCGGTTAATGCCCCGGACATTCGCTTTTCGTCTTCTCGATTTCGTAAACAACAGTGATATCACGAGAAGGCAGTGAGTAGGACTTCCCTGGCAGAGGCTGTATACGCGTGACCATGTGAGAGCATTTCGAGAGGGAGAGCTGACTCTCATCACTCTCAGTCGTACCACGGCATTTGGGGGCAAAAGTTATACAAATACGTCTCAAGTTGTTCTTACAAAAGTTGTATAGATGAATGTTCTCGTTACTTGTTTGTTTGCTATTTGTGACTACTATATGCAGTGGTACATACTAATCTTGTTATGCCTGTTATCAGTTCAGTTTTACTTTGCGTTCATTTACCTCATTATTTACCTTTTTTTCTAAACAGTTGATTACTTTTACTTGATAACTATTTTCAGAATATAATTAATAATAGCTAAGGCAATCCAGTGAGTTTATAGTGTGTGTATAAATCTCTGACGATTCCTACATCGTACGTATCATCACTACCCAAATCATTTTTGGGGGAATTCGGAAATTACTGCTTATTTAATTTGTTTGTCAACTAGCGTTCATCGATAAAAGAGAGTCAACCACATGAAAAATTCGATGAACCCTTTGGTTAGGTCTGATAGAAATCAAGATTATAAAATAACAAAGTTATAATAAAAATTACGAAGAGTACAGTCCATACGGGAACACAGAATACAATTCTTCAAAATAAACCCGTAATGTTTATTTGGAGTTCTAAGAAAATCTACCGATTAGTTGATTATGTGTAGACTAAGGTAAATTAGACTGAGGTAAATTAATGACAACCAACAAAGGGCTAGGTATTATAATCAATTTAGTGCTTTATGAATTGATTGAGTGTCATTTGGATGATAGTCTGATCGTAGAGAATGATAATAATTTATTATTCAACTAAGGAAATATATATTTAGTCATACTTTTAGCATATTTTACACCTTTCAAAATTTTTGTTTGACCTATTGGGAGCCCTTGTCAAAATCTGTTATGAGACATTTACCAGCAAATGTTATTGGATCATGACTACACAATATCGCCAATCGATCGAAGTTAGTCATACTGGCTATTGGATTTCGGCTCAGTGATCTAAAACTTAGACGTTCGCCTCAATACCTGAGGCTTCTAAGTGCACAGTGTCAAGTCCCCATGCTAATAAAAAGCAACTGTCCAGTGCTTCCTGGTTTTCCGTGGTTGTTTCTAGGGTATCTGAATAATTCATTGAAAATATACTTAGCTTTAGATATTTATTAATAATTTATCATTTGCATTTATGAGTATTATATACGGCACATTTACACACATTTTTAACTCATACAACTCTTCTGATCATATTTTTTTATCAGGATTCTGCTAAATCGTCGATTGTTTGTGTTATTTTCATTATTCGGTAGTTTATCACTTCTGATTTTTATATTTTATGCTAATAAATGGTTTCTAAATTATCATTATACAAATTGTTTTATGTCGGCAAAACAGTTCTCGAAAACAGATAATTATTCATTCATCAATAACAACAATGCTCATGGTACGGACAGTAATATCAAGCCATATCCTGTTGTTGTCTACAACAGAATCCCTAAAACAGGTAGCACATCTTTAATAAACTTAGTCTATCAATTAATTGAAGAGAATTACAGTCATACACATGTGATACACTTGAACATTTCTTCAAATAAACATTATTTAAATCGTGTAAATGAATTATATCTTATAGATAATTTGACACATTGGACCAGTATGCATCCACTGATTATACATGGGCATTTCGCTTATATAAATTTTATCAAATATGGATCATTGTTTAACCCAATATATATTAATATGATAAGAAATCCACTAGACAGATTAGTGTCTTATTATTACTTTCTACGATATGGTGATGATTATAGGCCATATCTGATACGTAAACGTATGTTTGATATTGTGACTCGCAACCAAACATTTGATGAATGTGTTCTTGTAAATGGTAGTGATTGTAGCCCACAACTTCTATGGGTCCAAGTAAGCAAACAAATTTTATTTTTAAACGTGAAAAAACATTTAAAATCATTTCAGTGATTAATTATAACCCTAAACAGGCTGTAATCAGTTTTCTGGGTAAAATTTTGAAATTACTCACGTTTCAATCGTTGAAATTGTTTCAGAACATTGTTTCAGGACATTTAATGTCTTTTATATACTCGGCGCTCAGCTTGTCAAACTATTTGTTCGAAAGTGTGTCCATTCACCTCTAGCGTCTTTTCCCAATCTCCTCAGATGGCAGGTAGTTGATTGTCTCTGACCAGTGGATCTTGAGTATTGTGTATAGACAGCTGTTCACAAGTACCAGTAGATTTTTGGTGCTGGTTGTGGTTGTCCTCCGCTTTTCAGCTCCGTATAGTAGGACTGTTTTAACATTAGTGTTGACAATACTGACTCTGCCCTTGTGTGACAGTTCTTTTGAGTTTCACATATTTCGATAGTATAATAAGAAGACGAAGATGATCAAAAATATGTGATGTATTAGCGCAATACATCTCGAACGAAGCAGTGTTTAGATGATTTTTTCTGTTTGGCGTTTTTTTGCAAGGTGGTGTTGGTAAACCTGTAGTCACCATTTCTCCTCTGCCGGGAACTGGGAGTAACCGTGAAAGGTTACATGTAGAGCTGATAAACTATTAACAGTAGTGAGTTAATTTAAAGATCGAATATTGGCATTTTATAGAGTGCTGATATCTACTATTTTGATTTCCATTGATTCATTATATAATGGTTAAAACTATTGTATCCAAATCCATGGCTGGATAGTACTGATATACCATAAGTTTCACTGGTTTGTCGGTTCTAATATAAATCACCTCTACATTGTTCTCCTCATTTGACACTTCAGTGCGCAGTTGATTGATCACTGAGTAATAATGAATGTCATTTTTGTCTAGTCCTTTGTATTAAGTGTAAAACCTACTCTCTACAAAATACCATTTATTGTGACTGTGATTTACAGTAGAATTTCAGACCGTTCAATTTATAAATGTGCATTGCTAAAGTGAATCCGGGTTAAATATAATAAAATATATTAACAGGAAGCTTATTTATAAGCTATCTAAATTAACAAGAATTTGCTTCAAAGCATATCTTTTAGTAAGTCATCATGGAGCATTGTTTTGTGTGTATACTTCAATTAATCTTGTGCCGCACTAAAAGTTAAACGAATAATATATATCTTTCACCAGAAGGTTTGCTATTCTGTAGCATGACTATAATTTATGTTAAGTAGCTCACAACTCATGAGTTTAGTTGATTCTGAATCTGTTAATAGGAAAAATATTCAGAATAGGATAAAAACTAGCACTATGCGTCAAAAATGTAGATAATGAGACATATTCAGTCATATGTAGTCTTAATTTTATTAAACACATGCTTGAATGAAGTGACTAGTAGACAAACGTATATTATCTAAAATTTTAACTTTCTATCGATTCACTGTATTTATAAATTTTTAAGGTACCGTTTTTCTGCGGTCAAGCAGCGTATTGCAGAATCCCTGGTAATCCAGTTGCTGTAGAAACTGCTAAACGTCGTGTGATTGAAGATTATCTTATTGTTGGCCTGACAGAAGAATTTGATAAATTTGTCGACTTGCTAGAAATACTTTTACCATCATTCTTTACCGGTGCTCATAATCTAATATCTCGTTCAAAGGATAAATGGCATCTAAGACGCACAAATTATAAATTGCCAATTAGTAAAGCAACAACTAAAATATATCAGGACAATCCGATTTGGCAAGCTGAACAAGAGTTTTACAACTTTGTTCGTACAGAATTTCATACAATACTCAGTGCTCTCCAAGGACAGTTTTCACACCAACCACTTTCAAAATTTTCTGCATTGTATAAAGAAAAAATTAATTTTGATAAAATTCGCCCAAAATTTGGCGCTTAACTTCGAATACTTTTTTTTGCTCTAATATTTACAGTCCTTTTATTATGATAGACATTTCAGAAAATCATTTAATTGTACCATGTTTTATACTTTATTTTATTAACCGCTTTTATTCACATTGAGTTGCATTTACCTTAATTGAAATTACCCTGTACAATTAAAAGTTCTTTACTCTGGGTTTTTTCATGGGGATTTAGTAAATTTGATCAATTTCACAGATCAAGTTATTTGTTACTTTTTTTCAGCTATATCAATTTTATGCATTTAATAGAAATTTTTGCTGACCTTTAAATGAATGCTTATTACTTCTTTTCTAAAAAAAATAATGGGAAGGTAGCCTAGATATTTGTGGATTGATGATAATGTAGTCTACATGTGCCTAATGTTGTTTGTTACTGAGTAGAAATATTATGTACAAGGAAGTCGTAGTATGTTGCAGAAGTCGATGCTGTTGTCCAGTTAATATAGTAAGTAAACTTTTGACAGCGGATTTAAAATTGGTGTACTTCATTTCTAATGCAATTATGATTTTAAAAAAATAACTTCTTAGGAATTTATATATACTGCCTTCGAAACATTGTTCAAATAAAGTGGGATGGGTGAGTGAATAGTTTTGGTTAGGTTGTAGATCACTTAGTTGGTTGATGTAGTTTAGAGCGTCTGTCGACTAATAGGCCAGAGATATCCGAAGTGAGATATGACGTAGCGACAATTCATGAAGCCATTGTTTCTTGATCTAAGCCGTGTAGCGATACCCAAACGTTTTGGTCGCAGTCATCAAGATAATCATACTGCATGATTAGAAGTAAATGAAATGATTTAAAATCAGCTGAATTGTAGTGGATGTGCGTAACTGAACTTGAGTTTAATGTGATTACGTACTTCTCATCCCCAGTCTCATCCGTTCTTCATGAACCATACTCCTTGATTTTCGTTTAACATTACTACCAGTATGATCATTTTAACCTCACTGGATTTGATTTCGTGTCTTGAGCTTATTGGTTTGATGGTCATTGTTGTATCACTATGGGCCAGTCCACATTTGTGCTTTTTATGGATCACAATTGTAAGAATGAATTTTTGACTGTCATAATCAATGAGTATAATACTGATTCATCTATGATGTGCAATTACACGTGTGGCCATGTGAAAAGTGTGCACTAGAACGTCTTGTTGACGCAAGCTCCCAAATGATTAGGAATCAAAGACGAAAATACAAATAAGAATGTTATGGGTGATCAGAGGAAATTAGTTTGTACGTCACTCATTCTCCGATCAACTAACATCTAATTCATAGGCCTAGTTCGTGCTCCCCCCCATATAAGTATACATTGTTTACAAGCAACTGGGATGAACAAAGAATAACTTTCAAATTCAGTTTTAAACAAAGCAAATCTACTTATAGATGACTTAACTAATTTTAGACATATAAAGTCACCTGATAAACACAAATTGAGTTTATCTATTTAAAAGACATTTTACACATGTGTAATATTATTGAATCAATCAAATAAAAACGTAAGAAAAACCTGAACTCAGTAATCTTGGACTATTTAATTAATTTAATTTCTAAAAACATTTTAGTTCAGACATTGAGTACTATGAACATGTTTTTATATTCCATATCACTAACTACTCAGATGATCATTCAAATTGTCTTATTTTTTGACATTGATTTTTTATTGACATTATTTTCTATATGAAGTGTACAGATGACATAGTACCAATAAATGAAAATTCCGTTTCTTCACAGTTCTCGAAACCCATCAAGTGGTATTATGACAAACTTTTCAGTGGGTACATGAAAACAAAGAGAAATATAGTGGAAATCATATTATTTCAGCTGATATTTTGATAATGGTAATTTAGTTTGTTATTTTGATAACACAATCTGGTATATGTAATACAGCTTATTCCTTGTTGTAACAGACCTATCCATCCTTACTGTTTTTCGTTCAACTGGTTTTAAAAACTGACTCATCATTAAGAGAGGTTTCAACAACACTTTAGATATCATCTTCAGTAGGGGTTTACTACGAGTATTACTTTGACCGGATTTCAAAATATCTACCACCATAAAATGTCAGAAAGATAAAAAAACAATGAGGAACTATACAATAGAATATTGATCTACGGTATCACCCAAGTTTACTACAATTTGACAAATAGTATAGCCGATTTCTGAATAAAATAACAGCAACACCATCATCATCAACAACAACGGTGTGAAAGTTGAGAAAAAGAAAAATCAGATAAATTCACGATCTAGAATACTGACAATAAGAAAATTGTATTCTATTTACTGATCTAAAATATATTTTTAATTCAATAGAAAACAATTATCTATATGTAGGTAATGGTAGGAATCTTCATTAAAAAAACTAAATGGAATGAATTAACTAAATTAGTCGACCAAACAATTATCATCATTACTGTTTGAAGGTGAAGGATACACACAAAGAAGACAATTCATAATAGCAATGTTATAATATATAAATATTAAAATTTAAATGTATATATTTGATAGAGTTACTTATTTGATGATCTCGAAGAAGTTAAAAAGATAAACGAACATTTGCTCATTAATGAGTTTGTAGGTGTCATTACCAAGGTTTGATTTGATAATTTCGAATAAATTGAGCATTGGGTTGATTGTTATAAATAAAAATAATATATTTGTAATATCCCAATGAGTAGAAAATTGGATTTTCTGACGTTTCGTGGCTTAGTGTAAGTCACTTCTTCAGAGAATAAATAACCAAACTAAAATTAATCCAAGTTTAAATAGTACAACGTTGTACTATTTAAACTTGGATTAATTTTAGTTTGGTTATTTATTCTCTGAAGAAGTGACTTACACTAAGCCACGAAACGTCAGAAAATCCAATTTTCTACTCATTGGGATATTACAAATATATTATTTTTATTTATTTGCTCATTAAATTTATTGTAGTGTTAATTCTACTACGACATATTGATCATAAAGAAAAATAAAACAACAACAAAATAAATAAAAAAGATGTTGCAAAGGAAAAATCGAACAAAGAAAGAATAGTGATTCATGTGGTACTAGGAGGATCTTCGTTACTTTCATTTACTGTTCTGATTGAGTCTGAAGATGATGGCACTGACAACGACGAGGATGATAATAATGGTGTGACGAAATTTGAGGTAACCACCGATACAGCTGAATTTAAAGCATTTGATATCTGAAACGAAATTGATGAATAAAATTCAGATAGATATAAGCTAACACGTTAGGATTTGTAGAAATCATCATTATGAATTTCGGATAACTGTTTTAAGATTATCGTTATTACTTTTTATCATCTCAAAGTGGTAATAATTGAAGGATCGTTAAAGATAAAAACCAAAAAAATATATTAAACTTGCTTGTCGTCCTACTTAACTGGGAATTCTTCAAAAGTGGTTCAAAATTAATGGATTGTTTGAATAATAAAGTGGTGTACAAAACAACTGAATTATATTTGCAAAGACTTACTTTATAACAACAGTTCATAAGAAACTAGTTATTACTGAAAAATCCTAGTTATAACCGAATGTGATTATTTAGTGGTTTCTGTCGTTATCGTACATAGATGTTCGTATCCAAGTATTGGTTATGGAAAACTAAACAACAATTGAGTCAGTATAGTATTTTGGAAACTGTTGAATTTCATTGAAATCATGGACCGATTCAAGTTAGACGATCATTGTAGAACTGGAAGCACTGGACGCCCGTTTTGGCCTAGTATAGAACTCCTAAGGAATGTGCAACTACGAAGCCGCACGCAGAAATCAGAACATGGTTTGTCAAATGCGAACGCATAACCTCAAGGTTGATCGATGTTCAGCACTAATACCATTGGATGCTGAGCCAGTGGTCTAGAGGTTAGGCGTTAGCACGCAAGACCGAAAGTCCTCGGTTCGACTCCTGTTTGCAAACACGTGGATGAGCACTGTCGAAGAGTCCCATGCTAGAATGAAATAACCGTTTAGTGCTTCCGAATTTTCAATGATGATGTAAATTAGATGATTTCATAGTTCCAATACACTAGTTTAGTATTTCATAATTTTTAATGATGTTTCAATAAATATGCTATTAACTTTTAGAAAAGAAAAAATCTCGATAAAATAAAAACGGTAATGTTAAATAATGATAATGAAATCAATTAACTGAAGGAAATTATTAGTTCTAAGAAGATAGATCAGAATAACTAAGATTAGAAGATAATATTAAGAAATTATGGTTACGTGTACATGCAAACACGTATCAGATATGAATTCACATTTTTAAAAATGTCGATTTTGCAGAAGAAAATCAGTAATTAATTACATGAACTTATTTCATTGTTAAACTTTAAGAACATTGAAGTAATAAATAAAAATAGGTTAAGGAGACAAGGGACATTCTTAATTATTAATAACTATAATAAAAACTTTTGGTAAGATCATATATGGAAATATATTAGGAGAAACTAACAGGTGTACAAGGATCACATAACAAGGGACTAAATTCCCAAAAAAGATATATTCAGTGACACACACATTAGGATTATTATTGCTAACTGTTTCCAGTGAATGAATTAGTTTCATATGAGTATTATTAATTTGACGCTAAGGATATATCCGTCATAACGTAGAACCTCGTACGTATGTACATCGGTTCAAGTCCCTAAAACCCATTAACACTGAGAGATGATATTGTCAGGGCGAATCCAAGAGTACTAAAGGTAGTAACAGCTTTAATGCTAATAGAAAAGACTAGGCATCGAACGTACGATTCAAGAACATATAAATTGGTGTAGTAAAAAAATTATGAGGGATTTAGAAGCTTGAAATCTAAGGGAAGACAAAGAATAGATTGCAAACAATTTTGAGCTGTGTCATTCAGTCTCTAACCACTGGTTACGATAGTCATCACGCGGACCTCAACCACGTAATACACAATTATTAACATGGCTCAGTCCAGTTGTCAACGACTTCATAAACTGATCTCAAGCTTCGGTTTGATCGCCCCTAGCTTTCTTCTAGCCCACTCCTATACCAGAAAATGTCGCCCGTCGAGGTAAACGGTGGTTGAGCATATGTGACGCCTGCCTGAACAACTTCATTTGATGAAAATTTATCATTTCTTCAATCGATTTGCCCATCATCACCTAGTACCCTACTCCTATCCCTAACCCAAACATTACTTACTCAGTGGTCCTAAAATACACGAGTAATGCTTTGAAGACATCTATGATCGAATGCCAGTAACCTACGAACATGATCTACTTTTAATGGCTATGTTTCACACGCATAAAGTAGAACGGAGCGAAGTGCTGAACAGTAAACTCGTTCTTTGGTCGGCAGACTTATATCTCCCCTACAGCACAAGTTGGGAAGACTCAGTCAAGCCTTCTGAATGTATTCTGAGCTTCCATCCGACACCAAATCATCATATTGTTAAAAAAAACTGGGCGTAAAAAGACTACTGAATACAATTGATTTATTTGTTCACACACAGATTTCAAGACAATATTGGGATATGGGCTGAGAAATAGAGTTCTATCTCTTCATCTTAACCAAAAACGAACAAAATCACCTCGTGAAAAATGAGATTTTATTTACATGAAAATGAATTGATTTGAATATAGTTGTTAATTATCGGAATTATACAAGGCATCAAAGAGATAGAGATTACTGGAAGAAAAAAAGAACTATAAACGACAACTGTCTAATGGCAAATTCAAGTTTACCTGAATTATGTAGTAGACGACTTGAGTTATATATAAACAAATAAACAAAAATGAAGAGGAATATGAGTTTTCTAGCGTGAAAAAAGCTGAAAAAGATAAGCACTAAAGTGATACTATTTTGAATTAATTTATGATACTAATAAGAGACAAACACTAGGTGAAATCTAGCATCCTAATAAAAAGATATTGTGTCCTTACACAGATGTAAGCTGTTTTGTTTTAGTTGTGAGTTGGCCAGCTTCATCGTTATTGGCTTATCTAGACGGAGCTATTTTTGTGTTTCTTAGAAGCATACCTAGTGTAAATATGTATACAGACTTGGAATATGTCTTTGCTAAATGTAATAGTTTATGCTGTTAGCAGAAAATACAAACATACTGTAACGACAACTGTATAGTGCTTTTACACAATGCATACGTCAGCTGTTTATTATTATTACAACGATAGGGTAAGCTGATAGCACACATATAAAAGTTTGGGAATATGATTTTCTAATAAATTCGTATGGAACTACTTAAATCTTCCAAAATTCGTTAAACTAGACATAATTTTGTGCCATAAGCGACTTGGTATCCAAACCATAAAATGTCATTCGTCTTCTACGTAGAAAACAAGAAATCTCATAATACTAGTTAATATCTCGTGTTTAGAGAAAACTTTATGATCCATTCAGTTTATAGTGGTGTATACATCATAAAATGACAAAGATAAGACAATCAACCCAACCTGTCTTAGTTTATTCACCCAACGATCAGCTGCTTTCTGGCGTCTAAGGTTTTTCTATACTTCAACACATTTTGAACGAAGACTTAATTAAACATATATTAATAACAGAGTGCTCGCTACTAACCTAAAGATAAAATATGAATACCAATTAACCTATTACATAATTGTAAAGTCAGTAATATGTAGAAATAATGACATAAATAATCTAATGAACAAAGATTAAAACACAGAGTATATGAAATGCACGACCGCTTGGTAACCATGATTCTCAAATAATTTTTAAATATCATTTTGCCCATGTAAAAAACGAAATGCCTTTTAACAGAAAGTAAGTAAAATTTAAATGATTACAAGTAGTAACTATTTTTAAGACAAGGGTTAGCACAAACCTTCTTACTTATAACTGCTAGTGGCTTGCTTAGATAGGAAATATCAAAAGTTGTTGTTACAAGCGGTAGTCGTGATGGAGTTCAATTATGTTCTGCAAAAGGGAGTCGGAAAATTCCTATGAAGTTTAAGAAAAGATGACATTGTAACACAAACCAAGACAGATGATATTGTAGCTTACAGAAGGATATTGACCTCATTTAGACGACGACTGGAAAGAAGAAAGCAGTAGACAGCTGTTTAGTCTTAGCATGGGACTCCTTAGAAGTGCATATCCATGAAGTTACTGAGGATTGAACCCAGCACCTTTAGGTCACATGTCGAACACTTAGCGTTTAGACCACTGAGTCGGCGTTTGATGGTTTGTATGTTTAACTTCAATCAATAACCCCAACCATAGCCCAATCCCATTGACAGGTAATTGTCTTATTAACTTAGCTCAAAATACCATAAATGAAATAATATCGTAAACAGGATGCAGTAGAATAGAGTCCAAGCTAAATTAAATAAATATCTATCATAGAGAAATCAACTCTAAATTTAATCCGATGAAACCTCTAACCAACAGAAGACGACTTCAATGGATAATCTTACTGCTCAGAGTAAAGATGTCAATAATGTTACAAAATAGTAATAAAGCTATATCTTGGGTGCCTTTGGTAAGCAATCAGCTAAATACAGAATGAAAAATGTCAACAGAACAAGCCAAATCGGTGGAAATGGAGGGGAGGATAGTTAGAAATAAAAAAGTGAATTTAGTGGAGAGACGAGTAAAATTTCGAACAAAAGGCAAGTATGGATGGATATTATAAACCAGATGATGTTGAAATTACTGTGAACTATGTTCATGATCAAAAGCAAACTGTTTCAGGCTAACCATAGGACGGGGTAATTTTCAAATTACGTAGTAATACAGCCTCATTACAGTACAAACAATATTCATAGGTTCATAAATCAAAATATTATATGTGTATAATTAAAACTAACTTGAGAAACAATTGAATTTTGATTTTCAGAGGGTTTATTGCTATTTCTGGATGTATAGTTTTCATGACCTGATGATGATTCATCATCACTATTAAAAGTTGATTTTCCTTCAGAATTTGATATTGACTGGGTATTTTTATCCGGAACTACAGATTCGTTGGCAGTGGGTCCAATACTGTTGATAATAGATTGAACTTCACGTCTTTTAGTTTCTTCATTCCAAAATTCAAAGAATAAATTTGACAATTCTTCTAATCGTGATTGCCTTAAGGGTTGTAAATCATCACTGGAGCGTAAATCACTGCAAAAATACAGTAGTAATTAGGTTCATTAACGAATGAATTACATTTATTTTACGACAGATAAAATTTGTCACTCTCCGAATTGATCTAGTGATGAAATTAACCTTTCAGTATATTAGTCAATATTTTGAGAGTGAATTTTAAACATTGTGTTTCTAAATCCCGTAAACTACCCATTGAACTGTTTGTAGAAGATATGTACCATGATTCTTTCTCTGACTACTTCATCCATATAACTCGTTTACCTAGTGTAATTTTATATATTTTGTGTTGAGGTAAACATACCAAATGGAGTCAAGTAGAATTATCCAGGCGACTGATACGAAGGAGGACGAGAGAGATTTAAACTTAGAAACGTGTATGCAAAAATCAGGTAATTTAAGCATTGTTTATTTACTTAACATATTGGTATAATTTTTTTACAGATTTAAATATATTTGATGCTTCGAATGCACCGGTTAATATACTGAACTTAAAGCTATAAACTGTAATTGAGGTATAGCTGCAACAGACCGCCCAAACTAGTGACTCCTTTTCAAGGCCGCAACGGCGTTCGCAGAACTGAACTCTCTTAGTCTCCCATTTGGCAGAGACACCAAATTTAGTAAACGAAGACATGGTGGAGAAGACCAATTAATTGTCTAGTGCAGAATAACAGTGTCATCGTAAATCATGAAAACCATACAATAAATACTTCACTTGCATATCTTCCATCAGTTGTTCTTTACACTCTTCACGATTCGTTCAGTGCTCAATTCCTTTATGTTTCCCTTTCTGTTTTTTTCAGTTCAATCTTCTCAACCTTCTTTTGACAGGCACTCTACTTCTGATCGGTGTTACATACTAATCAGATATGTCAACATAAGTAGCATACGTCACACAGTGGTAGTGCTTAATTGCTGAAATCGAATCTGTTAAAATGTAGTTCAAACGTACGTCTAAAATTGACTGAAAGTCGAATGATTTAAACGTTAAGTCACTGCCTCTAAAGCAGATACCAGCTAATAATCTAGACAGAAGAAACTTGGATAAAAAAAAGTAAGCTGGCAGAGAAGTTACGGTATTGTTTAATTATCTTACATTATCTTTGGTGTGTATTTCCCCTAAACCTGATATAGTTGAACTCCACAGGAGTCACGGCTTCTCATTAGAACTCCGGAAATTTCTTCTCGAAGATAGTCACCAGTGAGGACATGATAATCTTCCGTATGGAGGTTGTAGAGATCGTTGAATGTTATTGAAACCAAGAATCGATCTAAGTCTGGTTTTCAGGCTTTCACATGTGAAAGTAACTCGATTCCCATGGGTTATGAATGAGTATTTTTGAGCAGTTCTATACTAGGATGAAATGACCATTCAGTGCTTTAACGTTTTCAATGGTTGTCTAACGAATTTCGAAAATCCAATGAAAAGTGAAGAGTTATTATAATCGCATGTTCTCTTCACTTTATATTTACAAAATATTCACACAAATTTCAGTTCTCATAAATTGTCTCCATTAAATTAGTACTTATAATAAAAACAGAATATTTATACGAATACATATCATTCTGTTAATAACAAAACATCTTCAACCTATAACTTCAGATTTGAATGCATTTAAGTTTGTCATATGACTTCATTTGTCGATTATACTACTTGTGACATTAGACAATTAAGTTAAGGAAGAGTAATGAAGTGCACAATTCAAACAACGAAAATTTATTCTCATCATTCATAGAAAGAGTTAGTAATAAATGAAAGTTTTATATGTTAACATGCCAACGAATATATATATATATATATATATATATATATATATATATATATATATATATATATATATATATATATATATATATATATATAAAGCAACTCACATAAACGAAGAATCATCCGAATCTGCATAGCAAAATTGAAAAACAAGAACAAAATAAAGGCACTAGAAATTAGTTGACATTTGTTGCAAATATTATCATATAATATATTTGCTAACAGAAAATTCTGATCTATCAAGTGAGGATAAAGGTGTGGCGAACAGACTAATGAATATTGCATATATAAATAAACAACCCTAGAAAATGTAGCTCAGCAAAAAAATTAATGGTAATTTCAATGGAGTTTTGTGCTCTGAGCTGGATGGTTTGATCGTGGAGCTCTCATCGTTCTTCTAAACGACATCATCAGCACAAACTTCACCTGAGCTACAAATCTTTTCCACCATCTCAAATGGTAATTTCATCAAAGAGATCAAACAGAATAATTGAATATTGATTAATTATTATGTAAAATTATGCGTTACAACAAAGTAACATATTATTGTTATAGGGATTGTAGAGATTATAGGATTTTTCTGGTTTATATCAAGAACTGATCTTAACAAAAGAAATTACGAATTACCTGAACTTTTAGACCCATCAGTAACGTGAATATCATAGCTGTAAAAAACCAAAAACACAAATCATCAAAACAGCTTTAGTATAGGGGGTTTGTGGGGAGTTTTCAATGTTGTAGTGTACTTCATGGACTGACCTTAGTTCGGGAACCGATGAAAATCAGGAAGCTATTTTGTGTAAAAGGTCCTTGGTAGAGCATACTAACAAACTTGATGATGGTCGAACATAAATATACGCGATTCTTATGGTTAAGGCTTAAAACTTAGATTGCTCAATCGTCATCCAGTGGCTTATAAGTCTAAATCTAACCAATTGGTGATAATGTGCGACCATTATCTAATGGCAATATTAGGTGAAGTGGATGTCTCACTCCAAAATAAGTGGAACCCACAGGTCATGGTTTCAAAATAGAAATTAGGAAATTGTCTCCCCGAAACCGACCATTGGTAGATACATGATTAATATTAACATGAGCGGTTTGTGGAGGTTCTTGAAAGACCTGAATGTTCAGCGTTCTCTCCCACTGGAATCGTTGATAGATACTGGTAAGGAGTTTCATATAAAAAAGAAATAACTGATTGATATGATTCTTCAAAATCTTAATGATGTTGAAAAGGTTATAAGTAATCCAGAGCGAAGGAAAGCAGGGAAACCTGATAGATTATCTACTGAGATTTCTAAGGATGGTGGTCCCGTTTGAGCAGTTAAATTAACTGAGAACTTAGCTAAAATCCGGGAACTGAACATAATTTAATCTGACCCGACCGCTATTCGACCCAGTCTACAAGAAAGGGAAAAAATCCTCTTGTGACAAACAGACAGGAATCACAATAGTTGAAATCACGAGTCAATTGAAGCTATACCACCATGGAAAACCTGGAAGCACTGGACGGCCGTTCCGTCTTAGTGTGGGACTCCTCGAGAGTGCACATCCACGACCCCGCAAGATTCAAACCCAGGACCTATCAACCTCGCGCGCGAGCGCCTAACCATTAGACCACTGAGCCGGCATACAACGGTGTTAATGTCTAACTTCGACCAATCCACGAAGTTGCGCCACCGTACACCATTGTATTCAGTGAGTTGATATCTCACAACAGTTTAACTAGTAGTGTCTAAAATATTAGCCTCAGTAATACTTCGACGTATAACTAGAGCTCTTGAAGAGCAAACTCGAGAAAACCAGGCTGGTTTCAGACCTGGACGTGGATGTATAGACCAAATATTCATCTATCGGCAGGTTCTGGGACACAGCTATACTATTGGACATCTGACTATAATTATATTCCTTGACCTTAAGACAGCACTCGACTAATTTGATGGTGAGGTTTTATGGCAGTGTCTGTCACTAAAAGGCGTGCCAAAGAAGTACATTGACCTTGTACAGGATCTTTACTTGAACACTTCTGGTTGAGTCAAAGCTTATAGAAAACTGCCATAGAAATTGATTGCTATAGGTAATGTTCGTCAGGGTTATCCTCTTTCCACGGTTTTATATATATTTGTCACAGACATGCTTTTAGAGATAAAACTTACAATAGTTCCAGCCCATACAATATTAAGCAAAAACCCAATCCCACGTGCGGGATCGTGAATACACACTGCTGAGGAGTCTCATGGTAGGATGTAATGGCCGTCCAGTGCTTCCAGGTTCGCAATGATGGTATAACATTGATCGGCTAATGATCTCGATGAAAATTCAGTATTTGATGGTTTTCAATTATTGTTTAACAAAGGTCAGTCAGTGGTGGAAACAACATGAGTACATGGTTGACAGAAAAATAATAAGATAAAGAGCAATACTCGAAATGAAGACGCCATCAACACATACACTCTGCGAAGTGATAATTCTGTACATTTAGCCATTTCACCGATAAATTGAAAAGTAAATCGGAGTATTTCTTCACCCAATTCCATACGTGTTTTCAATTTATGACCAAACAAGAACCAATCATATCCAAGAGTAAGATATAACATTTGAATAGGTGTTAAACTACAATGCATTAAATCATCAGCCCAAAGTAAACAGCGAAGTAGACAAATAAACAATGGTGTACGATCCCATCCAGAAACACAATGTAATAGTAAGCCTCCAGCACCTATTAATAATAATAATAAATGAGGATTGTGAATAAATTGAAAAATTAATTTAATAGATGACAAGTGTAAAAATCAATATTTTTTTATATCTAGTCAAGACTAAGATGATTTCATGAGACTCTTACATACAAAATAAACTATAAAGTATTAAATGTTAAGCTAGATGGCGTCGTGAGTGCTATTTTTATGACGAAATAAATTTTATATATTCACTCAGTCATATGTTTTAATAGCCTTGATTATAATTAAATCGTCGTTTGTGACTATATAATAATAAAGTTTGAAGCTAGTTGAAATTTGTTCCCCGTTAAAACTGTATAAGTTGAAACCAGTTTTCTAATTATACCTACAATAGTATATGGTGAAGTATAGCAGTCAATCAGTCAGTAACAATGTAGAACTTCGTACGTACGTACATCAGTTCGAGTTGCCATGCCACATTAGCACACAGACGCAGTGGTCGACTCAAATTCCGTAGCGGTAGAGGTAGTAAGAGTATAAGCAGTAATCAGAAAGATTAGGGTTTGAAGATGTTATTCAAGGAGTATAATACAGTGAAATAAATTTGGAAAGAGAATAAGGGGTACGAAGAATTTAGAAGATTAGAATTTGGGAGAACACAAAGAGTGGATGGACTTACGCCATTGCAAACGATTTTGAGCCATGTCATTCAGGGTCTCTAACCAAAGTATAGCGAAAAACGTCGAATAACTAAAACATTTTATTAATAAGTTATAAGACCGTCGAAATGGTCGAAAACATTCGATGAAAAACCGGAAATCATTCAAGAAATCAAACAAAGTATTCGAACGTTTCTAACTACCATGGATTGCTAAGTATGATTTCAAGTTATACAGTTAAAAAATACTTTGAATGATTGCTTCTAACATTAGTATTTCGATTGATAATGTCAGTAGTTCTACTGTCATATACTTTTATGTTGTTATTTTTTCTAGTGTTGGCTGATTGGATTGGTTTATTGTACCGATAATACCTGACAAATACTTGACTATAAACTGTTCGTGTTTTTAAACACAATAAGTACTAACTTAAAATTTCGTGCTATATTTAATTTTCAGTATTCCACTAAAGAGTAGTATGATCCTGTTGAAAGATGATATTCAGTCAAAATATAAAAGTTTTAGAAATTCTATGAGCTCAAATATTTTAAAGTTCAACGTCTAATGTGTAATTTAAGATAAGGAAATGATATTTTTTAGGCCCTTTTAAATTTATATTTAGTTCAAATACACATCAGATAGTCTATTGACCTATGTAACTGTAATCAATATAACTAATCTAATATGATGCTCAAGACTTCAGTTGGAAGATTAGTGACCCACAAAATGAGTTTCCTTTTCAAATCACCTACGACATGTAATCACATTTTAAGGAGTAATTTTATTAGTTATATCTGCTACTTACAGATAACTTTACGATGTAAATTTATATTTATGCAGTAGGTTGTGCATTGATTAAAGTACTATTTATTTTAATTTACAGGAATCTGACTACTCATCACTGTATTTCAGATCAATTATGAGTGTCATATAAACTCTCGTCTATCGTCTTCTTAGTCTCACTTGCGTCGTGCGATTCATAATTTCCAGTAGATTGTACCAGCTACTCACCGTTAAAACAACTGTTGTTGTATTTTTCGAGGGACAATAAGAATCTTCATCTACATCAGTCTTATTTGTATAGTGCGAATCACAGCCGATTTCGGAGTTACAAATTGAGGTGCACACATTACTGAGATCTATGAAAAAACCAACTTTAATAAAAAGTGAAAATAAGATAAATTCTGCAATACATATGTCTCGGTAACGAGGCTGATTTCACTTAATGTTGAATATTCGTAAGTAATTTGAAAAGTCCATACATGTACAGTGATAACGATGTTTGGATTAGTACAGCAACGAAGGACGAGTTGAATATTATAGATAAGATAAACTAGTACAACAGTAAATAACACTGAACCGAATAAGTGGATTCTGAATCCTGATTTGTTTAAAAACTTTTTGAACCTAAACACGATGAAGTAGTTTATGCCATACCAATGTATGTGGATAAATATGTGAAGGATTTGGACCTAGAAAAATGCAACATAAAATGACTGGAGAATATTTTACAAATTCAGTGCCTAACTAATTCAAAAATTAATAAATATTCTGAAATAGATCCAATTAATTAGCTAAGTAAAGAAATAATAAACGATCGTTTGTAAGTCTTTTATTATCCGACCCCAATACTCTTATGACTTAGTATTCTTCGGACACTTCACTAGACTAGTCCCCAAAATCAGAACACGGCTTGGACAGGTACGTAATTATGTTCCAAATAAATTAAGTTGAATGGAAGTGAATCACAGTCAGAAAAACGTATTATATTCATAATTTTACCCAAGGGCCTTTTCCATTTATCCACTAGCGCTGATTGACCAAGAATGGGTCAAGCAAACTCTTAATATTGATCTATTTATATGGAATGCTTAATAATTACAAACCTCACAAAGATGATGAGAACTTCAATAAAAATAGATGTTTCACTCAGAGAAACCAAAACCTGAGTATTATATTCCATGCTTTTAACGAAAGCAATCTTTATTTATCAACGTACACAAGGCATAATATATATGAAATTTTCGCTCAGGAAATCACAAGTACGAATCACATTCCAACTATCCCAGTTGGGCAACCATTATACGAAATATGTAGCTTAAGATCGAGAATACTAGCATCTACCTATATGTCAAAGTACAAGTAATTAGTCTTTACACAGAGACAAATAATATCAGGATATGAACCTGAAATGAAATGGCTAAGATTTGAGTACATATGTCAGTGTATTTTCAAATACCAAGTTATAACTAGTTCAAAGAATTGTTTTTAGTTCATATTTCTTTTTTTTTTTCAGTGAATAGTCATTCTGATATTATGTTATTTTAAATTCTATTTTGTTGAATACGGATAAATGGATAAAGTTATATTTCGATTGAAAATACAAAGGAGAACGTAAGAATTCAACAAACTAATTGCTTTTCCTTAAAAAAAAACGCAAATTCAGGTAAAATTGTTGACTTTATCCAGTATAGGTTTATGTACTCGACTTTCAACTACACACATTGAGTGAAAGGCAAAAAAATTGTTGGGCTACCCAAATTAGTAAATGGAATTGTGGTGTATGCTACCTATGTTTGCAGATATACGTAGTATGTATCACCAGTCGGAAGTGGAATGTCTGCAAGCAGAAGGTTGAGAAGATTGAAATGAAGAGAAGAGAGAGAAACTGAAAGCAATCAAGATAACAACATGAATGAAGCTTTTAAGAGACGATGTGCATATGATTGTGCATTAAAAAACAAATTGGTTATCCCCACCAAGTCTTCGTTAAGTACAGAATGAGGCTCAAACCTACAAACAAGTAGTTCAAAGCTGGATGTTCTAACCACAAAAACTACCGGTCCCAGTTTTAGGTGAAACAGTTTTCCAAGAAAAAAAAGGAACACATCTTTAGTTGTTGTACGTTGTAAGTAAATTTATTTTTAAAGCAACAAAAATTGACCAATATGTATGAAGATGATGATTACCTTCGTAAAGTAATCCAAGAAGCAATTTCATGTAGTTCACAGTAATTGTATATATATCCCAGGACTGAAATATATTATTAGAAAACAATATATTTAACTAGTCAGTTTCAAGTTGGCGATAGTATACATTTTGAACTGATAAAACTCATAAACAGTTACTCATAATTAGATTGAGAACATAGCTAATGAAATCAAAAAAGAATGTTAACAATTAATATATAACATTTTCTTCCATAGTACTTGTAAACAGAGTATTTATTTATCATTTATTTATTTGAACACATAAATATTGGTATAAGAGGGCACCAAATATATACGCGCCACACAAAACAATGAGAATTCGAAGAGAAAACAAAAAAAACAATAACAAACAGATTAGTGTAAGGTAGTGTAATAATAATAATAGTAATAATGTAGGAAACGGAAAGGTATAAACAGAAGAAATCTTTCAGATAAGGAAGATACAACCACTTTTTATGAAGAAAGTAATAGGTTACGGCAGGATCGCCACTGGCTTCTATTCTGAGCCATATCTGACAACGTCTCTAGCCACTGTGTTGCACCATCTCTAGGACTACAGCCAGGGAGTCGTGAAGGACCAACACAGGCCAGCCCTTTGCAGCTTTCTTTCATACCACGACACCATGTAATGCACTGACCACCTCTCCGCTTTTTCCAACCAGTCCCAGAGTCGGCAAATAATGCACGACGTGGAATTCTCTGGGACGACATTCACAGAACATGTCCAATCCACCGAAGTCGGTGTTTCAAGATGGTGACACCAATTGAATTATCATCTCTGTGCCCGAACACACGATGCCGAACCTCTGCATTACTGACATGGTGTTGCCACTGGAAGTCAGCGATCCTTCGGAGACAACGATGACCAAACACAGAGAGTCGTCTAACATCCTCAACTCGGAGAGACCAGGTTTCACAAGCATAGAGCAGAACTGCTCTCACCGACGCGTTGTAGATCCGACCTTTTACAGCCAGACTAATATCAAGAAGGCGCTGAAGATGGCCCAGATTGGCATAAGCCGCTCTGGCTTTCACTATACGTGCATTGGTCTCATCACTCACGCCACCACCAGCACTTATGCAGCTACCCAGATACACGAACTTCTCGATTACTTCTATCTGCCCACCATCCAGGCTGAGTAAAAGATTGGAATTCTGCCAGTCTTACAAAAGTACTTTGCACTTCAAAGATGCAAAGCACATACCATACCTACGGACAATGATTGCCAACTGATTAAGTGCGGATTGCGTGGCTTGGGCATTATCGCACAGTAAGACAATATCATCCGCATGCTCAAGGTCGAGAAGTCTTTCTCCAGGCAACAGATCCACATCGCCATTAAACAGAGTTAGTAAGAGATAATGTGTAGATAAAACCACATTTAAGAGAGAGTTAATTTTCTCGTGAAAAAAATTATTGGATAAGACGCTGGAAAATATTTTAGTACCGTTACGTTCTGAACCAAATGATTTAACTGAAAAGCATTCTTGAACGTTCCAGATGACATCTTCAGAGTTTGCTCCATGAAAAATGGAACTCAACTGGGGATTCTATCAGTTTTTAGTTCGAAAATGAAAGCTACGAAGTAGTGAAGGTAGAGCGACTTTGTCGCCATATTCACTCTGGATAGGAAAGACCGATGGGGAAATCCAATTGTTCATACAGAAAGTTATAAAAACTTAATGGATTGTATCACTTTTGAGAAAAGGTTCACTCGTGACGTGACTGATCATGAAAGGGATAAAAATCCCTGAGATAAGAACCGACTACTAGTTGTTACAATACGTAGTTCAGTGGAAAACAAAATATCATTATATAGACAACCAATAATTATGACGTCTTATATATGTAGGTTTAAAACGACTAAGTTATTTATCATTTTTACTAAATCTCCGGTTTCCCACAACACAATTTATTGGTTTAAAAATTGTAAATTAAAAAATGTTAACAATAGCTGGCCAAAAATGTGACATGAAAAGACAAGGACATTTATTATGTGTTAGGGTAAATGTTTCTTGGTTGAATTCGCAGATAATTTGAAATTAATAAATTTCAGTGTTTCGTTTATGCATTCGTTTTCTATCTTCATTTATATGCCAAAGATTGAACTATTATAAATATTGATCTAATGTTCTCAAATGTTATTTTAGGATTTTCTTTAAATCTCACATTTCTGTCGGTATAATTGTTTGGAATCCAATGGTTTTATTCTAATTAATCTGCTGACAATTGACTATAAGTGGAGCCAGGTTGAAATAATATAACATTCGTGACAGATCACTATACTGTTGTTCTACTATGAGAATGAATGTTATATATCGGTAAGAAAGTAAGTTGGTAGTTAGTATGTGAAACAACCAGTTATAGACTACTTCCCCTTACTAAATTAACTAAGTAATATTTACTGTACTTTAACCTTTGAAAATGAGCATGATTTTCGTTCGTTGAAAAAGGGACTTTACCGACCAGTTAGGTGGTTCTTTGATCTTTGGTCATTTAAAGGTTAAGCATCATAAATCTGGTTTTCAAAAGCAGTCATCATTCAACCATCTTACATCCACCAGTTCAATATCTTGTCCATAAATCCACTTGCTTTTGGTTAAAATACAATACATAGCTTAGAAATGAAATATTATATGAATAAGCTCAATGAAAGTAACACGTAGTTTCATTAGAATTAAACCAACCTTGTACAAGTCCCATTCTACTGAGCAAGAAAACAGAGTTTTCGGTATAAGGTTTGGATTGACGGACACCTCAACTCCTGACTACAACATAAAACAAATCAAACGACAACCAAAAGGTAGAAATAGTAATTTGAAAATCCCAACGCTGAAACAGAATACAATTTACTAAAACTGAAAATAAACAATGGCGAGAATGTAATCTACAGATTACCTTTGAGCGATCGTGAATTGACCTGGAGAAACTTTGACCACTTCCTGTTGTAAAAATAACGTTATATATTAGTGTGGGTAATCAGGATCAGAAGTTAGATTTTAGGGTCAGGGACTAGAATTAGGGTTCACATCACGGACTGACATCAACCATGATGCCCAAATGCTATTTAGCCAAATGGATTGATTGATTCTGCATCAAAATTCGAGTGTCACCGTCTTAAATCGGATTGGTTCGTCCATAGATTGCAGTTCCACTTAAACTACTGTAAACAGTATAAAGAAATAATATTTCCTACAAAAACAACTAACTACAAGTTTGTTAAGAATGCAGTCAGAGATGTTCTTTTTGACATACTACAATAGGGACTATATGTCGTGCGGTTCTCGATTAAGTATCCAAATAAGTCTTACGCCAGACAAAATCATGAAAAATTAAGTTTACCATTACTCTTGTTGACTACCTTGACCTATTTAACAACAAATGCAGTACACTAAGGTGTTAATTTGTACAGTTCAGTGACCACAAAGCATTCTTAGACCAGGAACTAAAAATGGTCACATTACACTTTAGACATTATAAAGTTCGGTTAATTGATACTATTAACATTTGATCGGTATTTATTTCTTTAATGGGAAGAAATGTTCACTTTCAACGTACTAATTTCATAGTTGCTATCCTAAATACATGATATTTGATTATATCGTATACATTATTTACAGATTACTACGTTACATTTTCACAATAACAGAATTACGATATATAATGAACTAATGTTTTACTCAATACCTATTTGTTGTGAATATTACATAGGAATAGACTAACAAACAATCAGGTTTATGTTACTTTTTAGATGAAAACAACAGTCACGAATAATCTTAATCTTCTACATTTGCGAAATCACCAGTTTAAGAGATTCCAACTATATGTCGCTGATGTTGAAAAAGAAGCAATTGTGTTATTCCATGCCTTTTGAATTCCCATCACCCAAATATATTATAGTAAATTTTAACCTGGTCATCTACTAACCAGTTTATTAAATACAGTTTTCACTTAATTTCATCGATTTAAAAATACTAGGTATGGAAATGAAATGAAAATAGTTTGATAGAGAAAATAAAATAATTCCCATACATTAACGGGAAGTTCTGATAATTTGAAGCCGAACATAAGCAGATATATACAGTTTCGTGCAGAGACCGGGCATTATACGTGCAATTATAGTGAATAGTTGTACTAATTAACTATCTACATACTGGTGTCAGACAAGGATGCTTACTTTCCCCCTTCCTCTTTCTTCTGGTGATTGACTGAACTATGAAGTTCTCCATATCTCAAGGAAAGCACAGAATACAATGGACAGCTTGGATGGAACTGGGTGATTTGGACTTCGCAGATCACCTAGCTATTTTATCCCATACACACCAACAAATGCAGATGAAGACAATTAGTGTGGCAGAAGCCTATGCATCAGTAGGTTTCAACATACACAAGGGAAAATTCCAGACCCTCCAATTCAACACGGAGAACAACAACCCAATCACGCTTGATGGAGAAAATCCGGAAGAGGTGGAATCTTTCACCTACATGAATATCATAGGTGAGTGAGGAGGATCGAATGCAGACGTAAACGAGAGGATTGGCAAAGTAAGGTCAACATTCCGACAATTGAAGAACATACAGAACTCAAAACAACTGTCAGTCAGTCAGTAACAACGTAGAACTCGTACGTACGTACATCAGTTTGAGTTGCCACACCAAATTAGCACACAGATGCAGTGGTCGATCCAAATCCCGTAGTGGTAGAAGTAGTAAGAGTATGAGCAGTAATCCGAAAGATTAGTGATTGTAGATGTTATTTAAAGAGTATAATACAGTGAAATAAATTTGGGAAGGGAAAAAAAGAGACGAGGAATAAGGAGATCAAAATTTGGGAGAACACAAAGAGTGTATGCACCTGCGCCATTGCAAACGATTTTGAGCCATGTCATTCAGGGTCTTTAACCATCGGTTGCTATCATCTCGCGGCCCCCAACCAGGTAGTCTACACCTACCAACATGACTCAGTCCACTTGTCAGTGACTTCATGGACATGTGTCATGTTTTGGTCTGGCCGCCCCTAGCTTTCTTCCAACCTACTCCTATACCACTGAACATCGCACGTCGAGGTAGTCGGTGGTTGGGCATACGTAACACATGTCGCAGCCATCTCAACTGACGAAGTTTCACCACTTCATCAATCGATTTGCCATCCTTACCTAGTACCCGTTTCCTAACAACTGCATTACTTACTCGATGGACCCAGGATATACGAGCAAGTTTTCGAAGACACCTTTGATCAAATACTAGTAACCTAAGAATATCTCCCGCTCTTATTGGCCATGTTTCACTGCCATAAAGTAGGACGGAACGAACGGCTGCTCAGTAAACACGCCCTTTGTTTGGTAGATGGATATCTCGCCTACGCCATAAATGACGCAGGTTGGCAGGTTGGCTGAGATTTCGTCACACACCAGACCACAAGGGCTGATGAGACTTCCCAGAAAAGTGAAGCAATCGACACGCCCAACTACTTCACTCCCTATTATAAGTTCGGGTGTCAATGCAACCCAATCCTGAAGCAACATTTTGCATTCGAGGGAGAGAATCGCATCCCGAACATGCTTGCATTGTTGCTTAGAGTGATCAGAAGACTCTGCATTTTGTCAGCGTCTTCACCAAATAAAACTATGTAATCAGCATGTTCTAAGTCAACAAGTGAAACTCCCGGTAGATGTTCAACCCGTGGAAATTTAGACGAGGAAAGTGTTATCTCTAAAAGTACGTCGGCGACAAAGTTGAACAAGAATGGAGAGAGTGGGCAGCCCTGACGAGCACCACTTGAGGTAATCAATTCTGATGACTAAGACAACTGTTAACCAATATCAAAGTTAGAATCTTCAATACGAACGTCAACACACTTCTACTGTACTGAGCTGAAACTTGGAGAACTACTATAACCATAATCAAAAAGGTATGAGTATTTTTAAACAGTTGTCTGCTCAAGATACTCAATATCCGTTGGCCGGATACCATCAGCAACAGTATAATATGGGAGAGAATCAAGCAACTGAAAAGGAAATTAGGAAAAGACGTAGAAAGTAGACGTGACATACTTTACGGAAATCACCAAACTGCATCATGAAGCAGGCGCTAACTTGGAATTCTGAAGGAAAACGAAAACGAAAAAGGCCAAATACACTGCGTTGAACATTGCAAGCAGACATCAAAAAGATGAATAGCAAGTGGAAACAACTGGAAAGGATTGGATGGAGAATGCTGGTGAGCGGGATATGTTTCTCCATAAAGCGTAACAGTTGTAAGTAAGTAACTACTATAAATTATTTATGTACTATTATTACATATACTTCTATTGGATAACTATTATATGTATATTCATATTCCTTTTATCATAAGCTTTTATTTGACCTATTGGCTGCTATTATACGACTTACTAATCCCAAGTTATATCCAGTCTATTAGTTACATTCACATTCACATCTTACTTTGGCTAGATCGTTTATAATTGTTATTTTCTATTTTGTGGTGTGATATGGTCTAATTTGCTTGTATATAAATTGCGTACGTGTGAACTACGTGATTAATACAGTAGAAGCTGAGATTGTATTATGGACTCGAACGGGTAGGGCTAGGCGAAGATTCAGAGTTGACTCTAGGCTGCTCGTGCTAGTTAACGCGCCATTGGTTTGGGACAAGGCTAAGATTGTATAAGTCGACGTGCTGATTGACGGTTTTGTCGCGTGATAATTAACAGGGTCAAAATCTGAGTATATAGCACCGACTTCGGTAACGCTTGTTACTGATGACTCATATTGATGTACAAAAAGTGGTGAGCATTGAAAATTCGTGGGCCGTTTAGACTGTTATGATTGAACATTCACATCTTTATGCAGACAAAGAAAAATGAAAGTTTCCTTATGATACTAAAACCGCTTTTTCTTTTAACACCCTGAAATAACACGAGTATTTACAGTGTATGTGTACTACCTAAATACATAACCCATTCACAACTACGAACAGTCTGTAAGTGGAGGGAGACAAGATATATGAAAGATAACATTTTTTGACCAGAAAATAAATCACATTTACAGCAAATAATAGCAGCATAAAAATGGACTTGATTTGTTTAAGGATAATGCAGTATTGACCCAAAGTCTTTTAAAAATTGTTGAGTTGAGTTAAGCGATCAAAATGAAGTGGAAATAATCAAATGGATATTTCTTTCAGTGATTTTTATATCAAGTATTATTTTCTGGTGATGAGATGTTCTTATGAGGAATTATGCTGCGAAGTATATCTGTGTTACATTAATAATTGAGTGTAAATAGAAACCTAGTCAAAGAGGTTTGATAAATTATGTAACTAAATAGCTTGAAATATAGTCAGCTAAAACTTAAGATCTATGGTAATGTACTTCCAGTCAGTTTTCTTTCTTTCTGGGCTGTCTTCGTCTTTACCTTGGAACGTATTTAAATAGTGTAGACCTTGAACTAAATTAGACATTTTATGTTCAAATAAGATCATAAATACTGTTTTTCAAGGTGAATTACTGCTAGGGAACGTCAGTTGTAGTGAGAACAACTTTATTTACAGGAAGTTGTATCAAAGTCTCCGAAAATGTTTGCTCTTTAAAGGACAAAACAGTCAACTAGGAACCCCCACTGTAAGAAAGTTGTTCAGATGATCTAAGTTTCTTGATCAGAAGATACTTTTATGTAGAATGAGAAAACTACATGTTAATTAGCATAACTTAGTTCCCCATCATCAAATCTAAAAAAATTTAATAAATGGTTATATTTGTGTGGAAAAACATATGTTTTAAACGTCACAATATAATAATTACCCGATTCCAGTCAAAGTATACATGATGCATAGCATAACCAGAATCACGCCATATACGGAAAAATTCGCTGCCAGGATAAGGGAGAGGTATGACTACGAAATCATTATAGCGTCCTTGTTGATCCACCTTTTCTGATGAACTGATTCTATACGATCGAAAGAAATAAGACTAGCATATATATATAACTGACATACGATCTTCAAAAAATGACATAACATTGGGGGGAGGAAGATTTTCTTTATAACATTTAATGTAGTTCAACAGTCCTACTTAACGCGTATATTAATACATAAGTTCATTTGAGGCAGTTTGAAATAAGTTTTCCAGAGATGTTAAAAGCAGATTGTCAACAAACCAAGATAAAACACCCAAAAATATCTTCATGAAAACCAAGATTTTAACGACTTTAGCTCACCAACTGACTAACACCAGTTCTTAGAGAAAGCTATGTTTAAAAACTACGAACTTTTGTAAGACACTTAAGTAAATAAAACAATTTAGAAAAAGCAATATTGATATATTCACTAAAATATAATGCTATGATAATATAACCTGATACAAGAAAAATACAGTACAAACAAGATGCACAGAATTATAAATATTATATCAAGGTCAATGGAATCTGTAAACTATTTACAAACCTTAATTTTATTTACTCGATTAATGATAAAACCCGACTGCCAAAACTGAAATAGATGAAGCTACATTTGAATCTGTTATCTATTTGTCTAAATGCAGGTGCTTTAACTACTAATTACTGGAAAATATCTGAAGTCGGTAGAACTAAGATGCCTTAAACTAAAAGATAGCCATTTAAAAAACAAATATAAAACGAAATATTGTGCACCGATATGGGGAGCAGTCCGATAGAATAATGTGTTATTTGAAGATTGTAAAAATAACGCTTTTGTTGTTAATAATGAAATACAAAATAAAAATCACGAAATAACTTACGGAACCCAACATTTTATCTTTCTGTACTCCAACATAAAATCACAAATATAGGTGACATTTAAACGACGAATTAATTCACAATCATCATCACGTAATTTTTCTAAACTGTGACGTCCGTTTTCTGTCCTTAAGAAGTGCGAAAGCATTTTGTAAATAGAACATATTATAGAAAGAATCAACAATTAAAATCAGATTCATCAACAACTAGACCAGTTAAAGATACAAAAATTCAGTGAGCAGAATATTGACGAAGAAATGGAGTAACTCAACAACAATTTAAATATTAATGGAGTAGACTATATGTCACAATTATTATGTGCGAGCTATCTGGTTATCTAGAATTTATAAAATGGAGTAGAATTCTGAACTGTGACCCATAAGTTGAAAATCAAATGATCAAACGAACTAGCTATATGTTTAACTTATTTCAAATTTGTTTGATATGTATTTTCTGATCTGTCTGGTTCAAATATATTGCAATGTAAGCACTAACTGACTGATTTTTATCATGTGAGACTCTTAGCTAATTATTAAATATGCTAGAAAATTGGAAAGGAAATTCACGTTTTGTGCTTGAGCATCTGGGCTACCTGTTTCTGCCATCTAGATATTTCAACAAGTTATCTATTGTTGTTTGTTTTAATATATCATTATGTTTATTAATCGCATAACCTATTCTGCTGCGTTTCTGAAAAGTGTACAACCTTTCGTTGTCAAAGTTACAGAAAACTCAATAAGAGACAATATGGTTGCTGGCAATGTACAACGAAAAGAATGTACATTATTCAGTTGTTCATTCACTGAAGTGCTAACATCTAACTGGCGATTCCTCAATATTTATCGCCAGGACCGACCAAGAAGAAAGAAACGGAAACTTGTTGAAATACTTTGCGCTGAGAATTCTATATTGTACCAAAATTATAATATTGAATAAAGCTAATAATAATAATAATAATAATAATAATAATAATAATAATAATAATAATAATAATAATAATAAAAAGAAACAGCTACACGTCGTGTGGAGCTCAGTGATGCTATCTGGCTAGCTGAACCAGAGTAGATAGAATGAGGTTAGACCCTAATATTAAGTAGATAAAAGTCAGCTTCTTCAGTATACTAATTCATTGTTTTAAAGAAAAATGAGAGGCACTGAGCCTAGAACCTTCAACATTTAAAATTGAGGATAGTTGAAGTTTGATTAAGTAAAACCCTAATAGATATATATATTCCCGGTAAAAAAGATACTCAAAAACTGTTTAGGCAAATAAAACTCACTCAAAACTTGTATCTGGAAACTCTCCTCCTGAAGAGTTACTGACATGTCCATCAAAAGTAAAGCCTGTCTAGTCATCACATGAATAAGTAAGTTTACAAACCTGCAGCTGTGGCAACTTGGCGACCATAAAACTCTAATGGGCCGCTTAAAGTACTACATCGGCATATATTCTGAAATGAAAGAAAACACAAAAATTTCGTGACACAAATCAAACAAACAAACTGTGATCTACCTTAGTTACAGTAATCTATTTTTACTATTAACTGTGAAAATCCGTAAACGTCGCGAAACATAACATTTCTGAGTTAGTGTTCACTCTGAAATTTACACAAGCATATACATAATTCTTAAACAAATTCACGTGTTTAACCAGTTTTGTCATTTTTATTTGCTTTATTCAAAACGTAAAGATTTGTAATCGCGATGAACAGTTTAAATAAGCTGAAATCAGTCATTAACAATGTATACTCCAGCACATACCAAATAATTCACTTAGCTACAGTTCATATTAGCAGTAAGAGATTAATTAGGTAAAGGTAGGGAGTTAAGGTACAAATGACAAAGATGCTTGTAAACCGAACAGAAAATGTGGTTCAAAAAGGCTAGTGAAGTCGCAAATAGCTAGTATATAATTACAGTACACTAGAAAGGCAAAAGAACGGTTACTACATCTCCAGGTTTCTAAGGATTTAACAGAGAATATTGGAGCTAGAAGATAACTAGCCTTCACTAAAATATAAGTAATCAAGAACAAAGATGACTTTTTCACTCAAGTGACTTCGTTTAAGGGAATACAATGCCAATATGGTAGGGCATACAATTCTACAGTAACGATGAACATTAGCGAACGTTTCCCGATATCATCAAGCCACAAAAGGGTGGTATCAAACAACACGTGTAAATCAGTTAACTGCTGATTATCGATCTGTTTTATACAACGTAAAACTGGTAAGAGAACTATAAAACTCAAACAATATGTCCATTCCACCCAACGATTGACTAGGATACCATCAACTGAGTTATCTCATCCCAACTTACTCTTAAATGTTTTGTCAAATATCGATTCGGTACAAAGAAATAAGGGTGAAACTAATCTTAAAACAAACAAGGAAATAGAATACAACATCCTCCACTAGTTTATTCATTTCATACAATACGAATCCCAACGTATCAAAAATCGAATTTAATTGAAACTCTAGGGTTCATTCAACAGATAGACCGACCTCTCCTTGTCTATGTTTGGTTCTATAGTTTTATTTTCTTCAACACCTACTAACTATCGGATATAAAATTAGTTAGCTTGAAACTTGCTTTTGAAAGTACATCATTTTGCTATTACAAATCGCTGAACGGCAGCAAACTCACTAAGTGACACACATGACTCAGCGACATAGAAGCACCTGTCAAGTAGAACTTTGTCTCAGATGTATCTAAGATGAACACAGGTACCGCCTGGTGCAAAACAAAATTAGCGCAGAAAGGATGACAAGATAGCACCAAATGGAAGGAGTTATCCTATATTTGGACACCCTTCATTGAATGGTCTTAAGAAGAAATCTGCAACTAATCTCAGTATTCACTAGATACGCCAAATTGTAAAACCACCTCTTTTATATCTGAACCAACTGCGATCTGGGACTGACGGAGTACATTTTGAACTGAGGAAACTGTGTGGTGGGGTAAATACCACCTATCGGGCAGTACTAATCAATAAGTCGTACCTTTGATTCTCAAGCAAGTAGTTAACCCTTTAATGACTAAGTTTACATCAGATCTATCGGAATACAACGTCACAATATACAAATATGCAGCAATGATTCTGAATTTCGTTGCACATGGGTTCGCTAAATAACAATGATAATTAATCTTGATCGCATACTTTTTGACGAAAACGATAACATCTATCATTTGGAGTTCAAACATTTTTCACTTAACCCTGATAAACATCCTAATGATCCTACAAATTTTAATCAGTTTTGGTGTCCTGATGTGACCTAAATTGCACATCTACTTGAACCTTGATACGTTTGGAAACGAAATTACCAATTTATACAACGGTCGGAAACTGTGGATTGGATCGTATTGCCATATCTGGGTTTCTCAGGAGGGGGGTGGATGTGTGCGGGTATGATAAGTGAAGATATTACTACTGATCTTCATATTGGTATCTGATGTTTAGCTTGATAAATATGCAATGCAAACCAACCTAAGTCTGTTATAGTCTGGACAGATCCTTCATTGGGCTACTCGACCACGTTCTAAAATATGTCGGTTTGACTATCTTAGCTTTATTAGAAGTAGAAGTGTTGCAGTCAAGCCCAAGATTAGATTAAATGAATGTGCCTCGGGAGACGGTGTACCACTGCTTAGTCAAGTGCCATTATATGTTGTGGATCTTCACAGCACAACAGCGGTTATACTGAGGCGAGAACATTGAGTCATCCATGATTGGTGAAGGAGCATTTGAAGTTATAAATAGTAATGGTCATTAGACAAGAGATGGCGCGAGGAGTTACCGGTCTTCGCAACGTCTGGGACTTGGAGGTTGCATAGGAAAAGTACGAAACTTCGCTCGTGATGGTCAGTTAACCTTATTTTAATGATATCTCATGTGTACGAACTGTAAACAACATACGTATAGTATACTAGTGAGTTAATTGATGATAAACAATAGTTTCAGTTTCAGTTTCAGTTTGGGAAGGACAGGAGGCTCGATGGCCTATGTTAGTCCTGGCAATGGTGGTCTCTCAGTTGATCCAACTTTCTTTTAAAACAGTCGACGGATGGAGCCTCAACCACGTGCTGAGGTAGTGAATTCCACTCGTTGATGATTCGATGGGAAAGTCGATAGTCAGCTGACAAGTAATTTGTTCTCGGCTTATGAACTTTTTTGGAGTGTCCTCGTAAATTCTCTGTTTTGGAAGACAAGAAAAATGAGGGCATATCAGGTGCAAATTTATCACTAAGCAATTTGTAGACTGTAATCAAGTCGCCTCTAGTTCTGCGATATGACAACGGGAAAAGGTTCAGCTTGGCCAGTCGAGATTCATACGGAAGCTTCGCTATTGCGGGAACCAGCTTAGTCGCCATTCTCTGAACCTTTTCCAGAAGCTCTCTGTCTTTTTTAAAGCAGGGGCTAGCCGCTTGTATGCAGTACTCAAGTTTAGGACGAACGAACACTGTATACAAAGTCAAAAACGTCTTAGTGTCGACATGACTAAAAGCCCTACGTATTGACCATAACGTTCTAAAACTTTTGGCGGCTATTGCACGGCAGTGTGCAGTAGTCTTTAAGTCTTGACTAACGATAACTCCTAAGTCATTATATGTCTGGACGACAGGTAGCTCAGTGTTATTCATCGTGTATGTATCTGTGCCTTGATGACCGATATGCATTGACGCGCGCTATTTAAAAAGGACAGTGGTATTTTTCCTCGCTGAGTAAATTTCATTGTTTTGATCGTTTATTACGTATCAAGACTACTGTTTTTCACTTTAATTGAATTTATTTCAGTTAAAGTATTCGACTAAAGTATCGTTTTTACTGTTTTGTCGTTGGTATTCTTTAGTACCACTTTTTCAACTGTATCTGTTAGTACTTTTGGTCCTAGCAATCTACAGCTCTTCACTTTTTTGGTCATTGATAATTTTTTTGTTTCTGGGTATCATCGCATATTGAAAAAACCCCTCCTAAATGACCGGACAGTGTAAAAAAAGCAGTTGCCAACGTCCGGGTTGTCGTTATCCTGTTGAAAGCGGCATGCAGTGCGACGAGTGCAAAGGCTGGTACCACGAAGTTTGCACGAACTTAACGCCTGCTGCTTTCAAACGGTTCAGTAAGAAGGGTTGTGTGTGGCTTTGTCAACAGTGCTGCTCGGATGCAAACAGCTTGTTAACCGAGGCTATCTCACTGGTTGATGCTGCCAAGAAGTGTTTCAACAAGCATAGTCGGAACGCGTCAAACAGCACTCGATCTGTTGACACGCAAATCAATGTGAAGGAAACTAAGGTGAGTCCGGTGATAGATGATTCACGCCCATCGAAGAAGGAAAAGCAGTATCCAAAGGGGTCTGCCTTAAAAAAAAGCTCAAGAAAAGCAGGGTCTTCTGTTCCCCGTCTCCCAGATGGGATCCAACAGGAAACACCTAGGAGCCGCAATCGCAAGGCTCGATCGGTTTCGACTGATAAACATAACACGACCCCTCAGGTCGTCGATAACCCCCCAAAACCCAACACTAGTTTTGACGCAACTGCTACTGCTTCTACCAGCAGCGTTAACGAATGGGTAAAGGTTGTAAGGAAGAAAAGTATTGACATAAAAGGGAAACCTGCCCCCGTAAAAGTGGTTGAAAAATCGAAAGCTGATCATAGCGACAGATCAGCTATTTTTCATAGAATTAAGGAGAGCGATAGCTCTGAACCTAAAGCTCGTTTTGAGCATGACATTGTACTGATTAGGCAGCTGCTTAATCAACTCATGCCTCAAAATATGACTGGGGTCACCTTGCTAAAGGTGTATAGACTAGGGAGTCTAACGGACTCGAAACCAAATCATTCCAGACTGCTTAAAGTAGTATTCGGCTCTTCAAACGAACGTGACCTAATTTTACAAAATGGACACAAATTAAAGGGTTCGGGAGTCTTTATTCGAAAGGACCTACCGTTGGCAGACCGTGTTAAAAGACGGGAAGCCGAGAAAGAACTACAACATAGGTTAGACGCTGGCGAAAAGGACCTGAAAATTGTAAATTTTCGGGTTGTAAGACTTCGACAGAGAATGATGCCGAAGCCACTCTGGGTGAAGCACGAAGGCACCTAAACAGGCTTCGGATCTGTTACACCAATGCACGAAGCTTACTCAATAAGCGATCGGAACTAGGTGTACAGATTGACTCTATAAAGCCAGATATAATCGCAGTAACAGAAACCTGGCTGACACAGGCTATAGATAGTATAGAACTTGATTTCGAGGGCTTTACGTTAGTAAGGGCCGACAGAACACAAAAGCGCAAAGGAGGGGGAGTAGCTCTATTCATTAGGAATGCTATCCCATTTACCATTATCGATAGTGTATCCCATGAGAGTGGGACATGCGAGTTAGTTAGTCTTCGCTTAAAATGCAAGGGACAAGAGCTGCTGATTGGTTTGGTCTATCGCAGTCCAAGCTGTGAGGCAAATGAGATCCTGTTAAGCAGTCTCAATACTTGGTCCCAAAGTGGTCGATGTCTAATCCTAGGGGACTTTAATGCACCAATGTTAGACTGGGAAAATCTGCGAACTGAATCGTCAGAAAATTCCTTTGAGCAGGAACTAGTTGATGCGGTTATCACATGTGCCCTAGTGCAACATGTGAAAGAAGCGACTAGGTACGACCCGGACACTGAATCATCCTTATTAGATCTTATACTGACTCACTATGAGGATGATGTTGCGAACCTCCACCATATGCCACCCTTAGGTAAAAGTGACCACGCAGTTTTAACTTTCGACTTCCATATAACTGCCAGTCATGAGGACGCGTCAGTCCAGTCCAGACCCAACGTCTGGAAAGCAAACATACCAGAAATCATGCACTCAGCATCGTTAATAGATTGGACAATAGACCCAGAGTCCTCCATTGAAACGGCCTGGGACACATTTCGAAAATCATACTTAAAAGTTACCACACCTCACATCCCTTGGACTATACCAAAGGGGCCGAAAAACTCACCACCATGGTTCAGTAGGGAGGTCCGTATCCTTCTCCGTAAGAAAAGGAAAACGTGGGATAGATTTAGGTTACTGGGGACTGATGAGTCAAAATCTCAGTATCGAAAGGCTCGGAACACTTGTGCCTCGACCCTCCGTAAGTCTAGAAAATTGTACGAAGAAAAACTTGTTAAGGAATCCATAGAATGTCCTAAACGCTTGTATTCCTATATAAACCAAAGGACAAGGAGAAAAGGTAATATTCCTGCTCTATGGGGAGACAGTACTGCTTCATCACTAGTGGAGGACGACTTTGGTAAGGCTCAAGCGTTCTCGAACTACTTTAGCAACGTGTATACCATAGAAGCGCCCTTCTCGTCAGCGTATACAGATCCCCCCATACATACACTGGATAGCGTGACCATTAAAGAACTCGATGTCTTTGGTCTGCTAAATAAGCTTGACATAGGTAAATCCACGGGGCCCGATGAATTACATCCTAGGCTACTGAAGGAATTATCTAACTTCGTTGCGAACCCTTTAAGTACATGCTTCAACCTATCCGTTACGCAGGGTCGCTTACCGAAAGATTGGAAAAACGCCATAGTAAGTCCTGTCTTCAAAACAGGCACGAAACACAAACCTGAGAACTACCGCCCCGTTAGCCTAACTAGTGTGGTTGTTAAAATATTAGAAAAGATTATTCGGAAGGAGCTGTTTAAGTATCTCGATAAAAACCGGATCCTCTCGGAGAAGCAGCATGGCTTCAGAATAGGTTATTCTTGTCTCACTAACTTATTAGTGGCTCGTGAAAGTTGGTGTGCTCTTAAGGACCAAAAGCTACCTGTAGACGTCGCCTTCATTGATTTCAGTAAAGCTTTTGATAAAGTTCCGCACAACCGGCTGTTATATAAGTTAAGACATGTCGGGATTGGAGGTAATTTATTGATGTGGATAAAAGACTTCTTAGTTGGGCGTCAACAAAGAGTAAGGGTGAACTCAAAGTTATCTAGCTGGGAAACTGTGCTTAGTGGAGTGCCCCAGGGTACAGTTTTGGGGCCAGTGCTATTCCTCTTATATGTAAATGATCTTCCTTGTCTCCTATCATCATCGGTCTTGCTATATGCTGACGATGTCAAGATATGGAGAACGATACGATGTAAGAGTGATAGCTTAGAACTTCAAAATGACCTGAAGAAGTTATCTGAATGGTCTCAAACATGGCAGTTGCCGATAAATACTTCCAAATAATTGTCGTATAAAGTATTCTATATAAACTACAAAACTGAACAAACCTTGTGTTTAAAAGAAAAGGATGGGACAACAAATCTTGTTCGGCAGCGAGCAAACTTCGACTGAAGCATAAGCTGACCTAAGTCGGCCAACGACCTATTTAAAATAATTGTACAGATTCTGTTCTTACGAAGATGAATGACGAGTACGGGGAATAGCAATGTACGGTGGGTAATGCCCACACATAAAGCCATTCAAATTCTCCAAAATCTTAACGGAGAATAAAGTTTTAGACAGCTTACTTCAGTAGGACAGTCCTCAAATGTTAGTGCGTTGCAAATATCGTTTATTTTATATATTTCCTAAGTGTTTCATTGCGTTAATTATTAATGTACCAGTTACCTTTGGGTAACACTTTAATACTTGTTCGTTAAAATCAGCGTCCAGCATGAAACTGAGTAGTTCAATAACATCTTCCTTTGTAACAATCAACATTTGTGCAAACTTCCCGGGGTAAATATATATAATTTAAAACTTGTGTTGACTTTTTGACCTACAGAAATTATGGAGTTTAACAAAAGCTCAGTTTTTACCGTAATGCAATTGGAAAGTGGCACAAAAGTTTTCTGTCTTCGAACGTTTAACACAACTTCACGTCAAGTACAGTGAATCAACTATTTTTTGGTGCGTTTCAACCGTCGTCAAGTTTCTTACAAGCTTCAAGGGATTCTTGACGGGATGGAAGAAGCTTCTGCCTAACGAGATTCGGTATCTAGAAACAATGGATCACAGATGTCAACAAGTAAGAATCTGGGTATATTTACGGTAAAGGAGAATGAAAGAATTGGTAAATTATAGTGTGATAATGCCAATAGTCCTTAAGAATATATCAGGTTTTCTCTTACAGGACTCTCAGAAAGTCGGTTAGACAGGCTCAGTTGGCACGAACTCTAACGTTTGACTACTGTTAAGGAGAAGGATGTGTTTCATTAAAAAGTCACCTCCGATATACCAGTACTCCATTGGGTAGATATTCAGTGATAGAGGGCGTTCTTCTTAAGACCTGAATTTGAGTCCCTCGCCATTGAATACTTTCCATTGTGTCCTTATTATTTTGAAGGGAGGGAATTAGCAATGAATTTTTGCGCTCTAAGTGAGGCAGAATGAAACAGTTGAAGATTAGGTGGAAACTTCCTCGTCGAATTGGCCGAAAATGCGCTACAACGTTACGAATGTAAAGTTTGCTTCAAACGCATTTTATCACAGTTAGTATAATACTTCAGATCACAGGGTATCAACATTGCTCGATCTTTTCAGCTAGAGATACCTCTAGAGGGGAGTTAACTACGTTGTATTCGTAGTCTGCAACGTGTCTCAGATAAACTAATTTACACTTTGGAGGGTTTAAGGTAAGTCCGTTTATGTTTGCTGAACTCTGAAGTCGATTCAAATGCTCCTGAATTGTCAGGTTATCACCTTGAAAACAAACTTCTCTCCTGGTATTGCATCGTAGGCGAAAAGTCTAATATCTGACTATACTCATTGAGAAAGTCCATGTATGTGGATTAAGAAAAGAAGGGGTCCTGGTACTGGACCGTGGGGACCCTACTAGACCATTCTGTAGCCTGAGAAGTTTACCCTGAATTTATAAAATCAATTGTTTAGATGTGAGGTGAGCTAATCAATAAAAGGTGATTTGACACCTAATGGTTTGAGCTTATTGATATAACATATAAAAAGCTTTCGAGAAGTAAAGGTGTATGACGTCAACCTTCTCCTTGTGATCAAAGACAGTTTCCATCTATCTACCGCTGTTAGCAGGGTGGTTATGTAAAAGTGACATATTCCGAAACTGTGCTGTAGATTTAGAAAGTTAATGGATAGTAAGTACTCGTGTAGACCATCGCATATCAGGGACTCCATATTAGCTTCACCTTTCGTCATACAGATATAGTAGGCATACTGCTTCCAAGGTTTTCTCGAATATTTTCAAACTTCCTAATTCACTATAATTTTCAATTGTTCTTTAATTACTGCGGCATGATATTGGGTGAAGGGAGCTAGATATTCAGAATTATACTATCTAATTAAAATAATTCCCAAAAGCTTTCGTCATAACATCATGACTGCCCATTCGAGTACACTTTCGATGGCCTCAAAAGACTCAACAGTTATTGCCATGAAATCGCCAATCAAACAAAAAGTGAAAAAAGACAAACATTGAGTAAGTAATGGGGATACTCCACTATATAATAAAAGCCAAGTAGAGAATGGACATACCAAAAGTCTCGTTCATCTCTTTATATGGGAAAATATTGCTAGATTTCCTCTTCCCGTCTCCGTGGGTTTAGATACGGCTGACTGAAGTGGTGGTTTTCTCAACAAGTACATTGGATGTTTCGTCATCTCAACATGTTTTGGTATGAGTTAGGGAAAAGATTTGATCGTTCTCAAGTGATACCTGAAATTTCCGAAAAATCTGGACAGTCCTCGATGGTCTGTAAATCATTGAAAATAAATTTGGTAAATAAGATATCGATTACACGACCCGAACTCTCATTTAGTAATATTTATTACAAAGTCGTACTACTTGAGACTTTAGAAAAATTTTCCCAGATGACCGAAACGCTCAGTTAAATCTTCGCTGGCACTGAGTAAATTGACCATATATGCATAGATTAACGTTAGACTGGGTAGTAGTTAATCAATGAAATGTTGAAAGTCTGTTGAAAGAGCATGTGATACTTAGGTCTTTTAACTTGTTACATTTATCCTTGATGACAGCAAGAACCATAGTGTCAAGCATAACTTCAGATGATTTTTTGGCTTTAATTTTAATGTACCACATTGTATTTTAGATTTTTGGACCTATATGTTGGTTGTAAAGGAATAGGCGATTCTGTAAATTGATTGGTGTCAAGTTGTGCTCCAGCCATTAAATGCATAGATATTTCTGTAAATATAACTCCATCGACGTCGACATCGCGATTGCTGTCAATAAGCTTATGGTTTTGTAAAGTTTCAAAAAATCAGCGACAGTTGTTGGTATCGAGACGTCAGCTATGGTAAGGTTCTATGAGACTACAGGCTTATTTGTAGGATTCAGTAGTATCTGTTTCTTGTCATAGGTGTTTATGCGAGGCGGATCGGAGGTGTTGAATGAAATTTTAGGGTCACGGTTCGGTTTATCTTGTGTGTGAGGGGTTTCAAGTTATGCTTCTGTTTCAATCAGCAATTATTTCCTGATCTTCTGATCTGTAACTCACAGGAGACAACTGCTTTGTGGGTTCTGGCCAATGACGTCAACCGACACTGATCTGCAGCTCTTCCTCTTTCTTGATTTATGAATAAAAATGACATAGTTTCATGAACCCCACGATTTGGGTGCTGACTTTATGATAATAAAGAATATGTTGAGACATCTGGTACCTAGTCTATGCATCAATCTACTTCTACATCTAACTTTAGAGCGTTGACCCATAGCTGTTTTTAATCACACCTAAACCACCTGTCCACCTCAAGTGCCAATTGTTTGCTTTGGGTCTGTAAGCTTGTATTTTAGCGTGACTAGTGGCGGCGAAATGTTTTTTATACATTCTTATATTTCGTTAACAATTTCTGCAAGCTGCTCATTATCTAAATTACCATCGCTGATTACTAGTATCTTTTGCACGTTTTGTGACAAGCACTGAAGAGTGGGCTGATAAAATAATCGTTTATCAATTCGTCTGCTGTCCAGTACGCTAGTCATATACCATTTCGATTGCGACAATATGCTTTCACTGGGTCTCACATTTCCTAGTCATTGGTTCGATGAAGACCTGGCTGTGATAGCCTTGTCTCGTAGAATGTCGTGTGGTGAAATTGAGCTAAGCTTTGTCTCTGTAGGAGAAATATTGGTTGGTCACTGGCTTTAATTGCTGGTACAAGTAAGGAAATTCTACCCAAAGAAGTAGATCTGGGAAAAAGATGGAGAGTAAAGTCTTTTGAGGGATAGAGGAGTGAATGCACAAGTTACAATGATGAGCACGGGCAAATGGGTTAAAAGCAAATAAAAAAGTTTATACGTACATACAAATACTCACTAAATTACATTTATAAATATAAGTTTGTGGACAGGAATGTATGATAATCTTAAGAAATTTGTATTCACAGAAGTAAAATAAAATAATTACACGGGAATGGTAACTTTGTAGCGTGGTGTCGAGTTGAGGTTAACTATGAACACCGCTACCAAGAAACACGTGCCAAGTAAATCAGAAGGCGAAGGTTGAACGTAACCAAATAAATTCATGAAATCTCCGAGAAGCCAAATACCAGAAGGCAAGTAATGAACCAAGTCGAGTCATATTTGCTGGCGATCTCGTGGCATCGAAAGGATACCGAGATCGTGCCAGGATACAACCTTGGTTACAGAAGGTAACCGAATTCGCGCGAAGTTACAATCGCAGTGTAAGTATAAGAATGGAAGCACAAAATAGCTGTCATTAGCACAGTCAAACAAAAGCACGTTAAAACAAACACTGGTACAGCTGGTTATAATAATAATTATTTTTATTAAACTAGTCGTGTTCTCGTGACAAACGTGAGTCACTACAACTTAAACACCATGTATAAATACAGTCAGTTGAGAGATAAGCATAAATTACGATTATTGGATTATAATCTACAGTTACAGAGGTTTAATTCATTGGTGATTTGAATGTTAACAGCGTACAAGCTCACCATCTGCTATAACATAAGACATCTTTGGAGATGTATGTATTAACCTACTATTCACTGGTCTAACAGTAATATGATAAACCATGTATTATGCTATAAAGAGATATCATACCGTGAAATATGAAGAATTCTATCATGATAGCCAACAAAAGGGAAACTAAATTCGAAATAGCTCACCTAAAGGTGTCAAAGATTGAAAGAAGAACATGAAAGATTCTCAAACAATCTTGTTATACACAAACAAACCCGACAACACATACAACCAATAAAATTTAAAGGAAAAATTCAGTAATGAGCAACTGAGCTTCTACAGGATCAGAAATGTTTACAAACAATTTATTAGAAATGTTTGGTAGATTTTGATAATTTGGTTAATTAATGTGACATTCCCCTATTTTATTACACTCTACCATGTGTAAAATTCACTGTGAATATGGAACAATTGACATTGGAGAAAAGGAAAATTTCTGTGAAATAGCTTCATTTAGTTTCATCTCACATTTGTTTAAGCATTCTCTGGTAGCTACGATTGGGCAAAAGGTTGAGATTTGTCAAAGACTATGGACAATGATTAATGTTATTGTATTTGGATTAATCAATAAAATGGTTATACATAAAGACTGTATCATTTCTAAAATTATTAGGTTTGATATTACATATAATTGTAAGATTGTTCTTGAGTTCAAATAGTAATTTATGTCAAAAACATTTTGAATTTGACTGACATAAATATTCTAAAATTAGCATAATTACAATGATTTGATGTGTTGGTGAAATTATTCTTATTAGA